GGGCTGATCTTGTGCTTAACGTGACTTGGCTTTGTCGTTTCAGCACTTCGCCCCTCCCTGTTGGCGCGCGGCTGTGGTACAAGGCCCGTGATGGATTGTGGTGGACCAGACGTATTGGTGCTCATCAGGGCGGCTCGTGCATCGTTCGATTTTTGGATGACCCGGGCCCAAGCGTTCCCCCTTTACCTGCGCATCTCTACTCCACCGCCTTGGACGCCGTCTGTGGATCATGGTGTTGAGAGAAACATCGTTCGCGCCATCTGGGCGACAACCGTGGTCGCACTCCGCTCCTTGCTGACTCCTTACCGTCGGCTGTTTCCACCATTTCTTCCTAGCGTCGTTGTTTTCATATACCAATCGGCCTATTGTGCCATCCTTCTCGCCGACGGTTTGCTTTTTTTTTTTTTGTCTCTGTGATCTTCCGTTTTGTTTTCTTTTGTTTTGTTTTTCTGTCTTGTCGTTTTTCTTTCGTTGGCTTATTTTTTGTTTTGGACGCTGGGGCCACGCCGCCTCAAGACACGCAGTGTCGAGTGATCCTTCTTCCTTGTTGCCTGCATTCATCCGAATCAGTGAACTGCCGCGACCTGGATGTCCGTTCTCTCTCGCCTTTACTTAATTTTGTTGTTGTTGTTGTTGGTCTTTGGTTCTCTCGACAAGCTACCTCCTCCGAAGTTTCGTCGGTGATGTCTGCCTCTGAACACTTGGAAAAAGAGCTCCCCAAGTTTCGTCGGTGATGTTTGCCTCGGGACATTTGGACACCGAGTTCCCCGCGTTTTCCTGGTGCGCCTGTTTGCCAACTAATCTTGTCTTATATTTTTTGTTTTAGTTCCATCGTGCCGCAGAAGTTGCATACGCTTGGTGCTTCGGGATTCCATCCCGTGGCGTTGCCTTCTCCCATTGACTTTCGCCGTCACCCACCCTTCGTTCTAGTTCGTCTTCATCATCGCCATCTTCGGGCGACGCCTTCATCACAGTAGCGCCCCTGAGTCGTCGTCTTGATATATATGTGAATCTCAACGACTTTTCTGTGTTTCGTGTCTTTGAATGATGCGTATCGCCAGCAAGCCATGGCGTAGTTCGTCGACCGCCTCTTTTGCCTTAATCGCTGGTGCTTTGTATCCTTGGTCCTCATTAGGTCTTGCCCCTGCCGTCTCCTTATACGAGTTGGGTACCCTGGCACGCTGGCAATCGTTCTCCGTGCCTTTGCTTGTCGTTTTTTCCTCCTGCCCTTGGTTAACGTCCTAGCTCGCGTTGAGTTTTCCCTTTGCGTCGCGTCAAGTATCAAAGGCCGTATTCGTTCGGAAATTTATTTGGGTTTTGAGTTTCGTCACCGTATTTTGGACTCTCTCGGGTAGTCACACTCATTCCTCCACCTGTATACCCGCGGGTGCACGTAAAGGAGTGGTGTGTGGCGTTTGAACATTGATTTTTTTTCCTCTGTCGTCGTCTGTTCAGGATGATAGCGTGCTCTGCCGCAATATATATTCTTCGTAGCTTTATCCCTTCAAGCGTTGTCATTGAGATGTCGATGTTCCGTCTCGTGACCGTTCGCATTCTTTATCTCAATGATGGTGTGGGGGATTGATTCGGGGTATTGCTACAACTCACCCTCCTTTTGGATGTTTTGTGAAGAGTCATATCTTTGATTCATGATCATAAATCATCAGGTAAATCTTACTGTAGCTTTAGGATTTGAGCATTGATTTGAGTGAAGAATCTGCATATATGATATTCAGGGTGGGCTGTTGAGGAGTGTGGCTGCTAGCATGAATAGGGTACATATTATTGTTGATAGCATGCGGGTCGGTCAGGAGGTATACCCTTCTGACCCCTACCCCCTTTGAATTGTCTACTCTGTGTACCCCCTGAGATGAAGTTGGATCCCCACTTCATCTCAGACCTTTGCTGATCGTCTCTCAGCAATAACAAGCAACTTTCCCATCTCAACGTGGTCGTGGACAAAAGTGTCAACGACAGAACCTTCATCTATCTCTAGGAGCAAGCTACCGCCCACGGCATCACTCCTTGAAACCTCTCACTTTCGTGCCAGCCAAAACAATGTCGGTGGCATCTGGATTTCGCGCAAGCCAAACGAATGCGTGGTACTTCCGGATTTGGCGCCAGGCACACTTGAGCCAGTGAGGTTTGGTTTTTGCGCCAAACGAACCTCCGTGACCTTTAGATGTCGCGCCCAAAGAACGTTAGTTCCGTCTGGATTTTGCGCCAATCGAACGTCAGAGACCTCTGGATTTCGCGACAAACGAAAGAGAGCAACCTCGGGAATTCGCGCCAGCTGAACAAATGTGAGTGACCTGTGGTTTTCGTGCAGGCCAAACGGATGTCAGTGACCTCTGGATTCGCGTCAATCAAAAGTCAGTGACGTCGGGATTTCCCGCCAAACAAACGTCAGAGACCTCTGGATTTCGCGCCAAACGAAAGTCAGTCACTTTTGGGTTCTCGCCAAACGAAAGTCAATCGCCTTTGGACTCGCGCCAAACTAATGTCAGTGACCGGGATTTCGCGCCAAACGAAAGTCGGTGACCTCGGATTTATGCGCCAAACGAAAGTCAGCGACCCCTGGATTTCGCTCCAAGCGATAGTTAGTCACCTTTATTCGCAGCGTGAGCAAACGTACGCCTCCTTTGGGTTTTGGCGCCAAAAGAAAGTCAGTCACCGTTGTTCGCATAGCGAGCAAACGTGAGTCAATTTTGTGTTTTTGGCGCCAAACGAAAGTCAGTCACCTTCAGTTTTCGCTCCAAGCGAAAGTCAGGCACCATTGATTCTTACGGCGAGCGAAAGTCAGTTTGTTACCGTTGGGTTTCGCTCCAAACGAAAGTCAGTCAGCTTTGGTGCTATGCGGCGAGAGAACGCGCGATCCTGACGATGGCAGAGCTGGTGGTGCGCGCTGGTCCGTGGTTGACATTTATTTGTCATCGTCCTTTGTCGTCGTGGTCCAGCTTTTGGCAACAACGGCCCTGGAAGACGATCATCGGAAAGCTTGTGTGCGTGATGTTCTTGCAGCGAGCTAACGCGAAGAACGACAATCGACTGAGGGACAACCTGGGTCCAGCGCAGGAGACCCGTCAAGGCTCCGTGACGATGTTTTTCCTCCAATAGACCCCTTTTCCCAAACGTCGAGCTTCTTCATAGTGTCGCATGTCTTGATAGCAGCAGTAGGCTTCGCGCCATACCCGCAAGATCAATGTTGCTGTTGTTGTTGTCTTGACATTAGAAACCGTTCCGATCTCTCTTCCCAGTACCTTCTTCTGTCCGTACCAGTCCAACACTTGAGGCGATCAATTCCCGTGGTCACAGGCTAACTTATCCAAAAAAGGTATAATACAGAATAATGGACCCGAAGGGTCCGCAAGTCAATAGAAACCAAAAATCAACCAGATATAACAACATATTCGCCTGATTGAGAGCGAAGTATCTGATTGAGAGCGAGAGCCAAAAAAATTGAAATTTCGGGTCCAGACGCCTCTTGCCATTTCTTGGCAAGTAGGGGACGGGCTATTCCAAGAAGCGGTGCAAATTGAAGGTCTC